CATTCGTTCGTTTGTTCATTCTTGCTCACCGGACGTCGCAGCACCGGCCTGAGATTCGGCCTTGGTCGACGAATTCTTGCCGGATGTTTCTCTTTCCAGCTTGATATCATTACTGCAGGTACCGGCGTCGAGGCGTCGAGGTGCATTCTTATTCGCGCTTTCTGCAGCGAAAGTGTCCCGCGCGATTAGAAGATCTTTGCGGACACACGCATACACAGAAAGGCGCGTGATATCCGCTGAGGGTTAACTTTAGAACGGACTTTAACGAAGTCGAGATACCCTTTTTCCTCACTGTATTGCTTCCCCATTGAAATGTCCTTCGTGTATCGACGGAATGTCGAAAAAGGACGATCGTACTACGCGCGACTTTGATGTTCCCAAAATCGCCGCGCCACGACCGGATACGATTCCCGTCCGCGAGAGATCCCCGCTAAAATAAAGTCCATGTGAAAAACCGAATGAACACAACACGGCTTCGTTACGCACAGACCGTATCCCCTTGGTCGCGAGCGCGATTTAGAGTGCGTGGCGAGCTCTATTATTTTTCGCACGGTGTCTTCTTACTCGGGGAAAAATCCATCGGCGAAAAACATGCGCGTCGCGCGCTCGACGAGCTTTCTCACGCCACCAAGAGGTCGTGTCTCTCGCGAAAAAACATATTCCCAGCCTGGTTATATATTTGCGCGCGTAGAACCGGGAAATGTGCCACTTCCCTTGCGATTGCCTCAATCGATGTGGACTTAATCGCGCGGCGACTCTCTCGTTGTCGCCGCAACGGCAGTCGCCTCAAGTGTGTGTCGCGTATCTATGAAGCGACTCGTCAAAAAATAACTCACTCGTTCGTCCGAACTGTCGATAGCAGAGGCATTAGAGATATTAAGTTTCTTCCCGGAAACGCTGCCAACCAGCCGTGTACACTTTCTCCGTGCGGCTTCCCGCAGTTTTCCGGGCTCCGTTTGGACCGAATAATTACAGAAGTAAGAAACTCGCTTTTCCCGGCTCCACGAGCAGCTTCCGACGTCGCGTGCACGCCGGGAATTTCTTTCTCTTTCTCTCTCCTTGAGACGCGCGTGCGGCGAGCGCGCACAAAGGGCATCCTGGGCGTCAAAGAAGGCGAAGAAGAAGAAGAACGTCGCGACCAATTCGCCTTATCATTCGAGAATCCGCACGATATGAAAGACATTTTATGTAGAGGAGACCGGATCTAGTTGGCCCAAAGAGTAGAGGAGATCGAGGCTAGTTGGCTATCGGGATAAGTTGGCAGAATCGGTTATTTCTATTGCTTTTCAACAGATTTCAGGATCAAGCAAGCAGATATTTCAAAGTCATCTTTGACATGTTTAAAAGTTTTCTTTGCTTGATTCTGTAGCTTGTTAAAAAATAATCGGTTTTGCCAACTTACTCTGGTAGCCAACTAGCCCCGATTTCTTTTATGTCGCTGCCATATGCTTTGTTTATGTACTCATCGTGAAAAGAACAATGACGAAATCGCAAAACGTTCCTTTTAAGACATAGATTCCTTTTCCTGAGTTTCATTAAAATTGAGATGTTATTACAATTAAAAAGTGAGAAAAAGTTGATTTAGCGACAACCAACAAGTACATTTCTGAGTGAAATTTGGCATTAATATTCTCCATTGTGAGAGCGAGCAAACTTAAGTGACGTTTTACCAGTTAGAATGAAGTTCCCTGCAAGTTATTATGGGCGTGGTAAAGTTGGCCACTATTTGGCATTTTATTTTTAATTTCTATTTAAATTTTCTATTGCAAATTAAAATTAAGGTTTTAATTCATTTACAAGCTGCTTTGATATTAAAGTCTAATCGACATTACATACAGATTTCAGAATTATTGACCGTTTTGTTTGGAAAATAAAAACGATTAAAAATTCATAATTTATAGTAATACTATATATATACATTAATATTATATATATACATATGTATATTTCAACACATGTATATTTTTCTATTATCTGCGCATTTTTATTAAATCAACCGATATATAAAGAAGCATTAAAAGTAAAAAAATAATATTTTTTATATTTGTAATATTTATATATATAAACATATATATATCTCAAATTTGTCTCAAAATTTTTACATAAATAATGAAATAAATATATAGAATCGTAATTTTACTGAATAAACAGTAAGTTTATGAGTCCCTTTGTGCGCCACTAAAAAAATACTGAGCGTTAAGTACAATGTATTTAAAAAAGAGTGACGTGTTGTTAGTTAGTTAGAATAAAGTTTTCGACGAGTGTCTTACACATTTCGGGTAATAAAAGCAATTTTGTATTCATAACTAAAATCGAGTATATAGACAGCCGAAGTAAAGTTGGCTACTACTTAAATGTACCGGCAAGACTCTCATACGGCAAAAAACCTCTCACGAGGATCTCCAAACTACTAATCAACATATACAGAGTGTCTCACATTCTCCTCCGGGCGTTTTGTGGGGATGTAGAACAGGTTGAGGTGAACATAAAAGTCCTATATCGTGCAATAATCTTCTTTAATGAATAATTAAAAATCTATGTGATTATTTGGAAAATGGTAGAGGACTTTTTTGTTTAATTTGACCGAAAATATAAGTACATGACGACAGTCGTCGCTACTATAACTCATTTACCATATTCTGCATGATCATTTACAAGTTTTCTACAATTAATATCTCGATAATTATTGCGAATATCACAAAACGGTATAGGACTTTTATATTCACCTCAATCTGTTCTACGTCCCTACAAAATGCCCGGAGGAGAATGTGAGACACCCTGTATATTTCATAAGTAGCTCTTTTATCCTAAATTGCTAGTCTTGATTCGATACTACACTGAGAGAAAAATGTATGATATTTGGAACTATAATGGCATAGTAAAAATATTATAGTTAGGAATATAATTTTTATAGTAAATGTTACCATGATATTTGTAATATTTACAATATAAGTATAGTATAACTGACCCGTGTAAAATTTTTACCAAGAATTATAATTATTTGAAATAAAAAATATGGTAAGGTGGCAAATATTGAATGGTAAGAGAAATTAACTATTTTATATAGTCAATACAATTGGAATATTTGGCAAATATAGATACATGTAACTATATTCCCAAAAGGTGCTTTACCATATATATATAGAGTAATAAGATGGTGACTATAAATCTGTGTTCATTCTACTATATCTTCATGTTTAGTTGAACTATAAATATATGTTTGAGGCCAAAACGAACTATAAAATATAGTGAGATTATAGTTATTCCAACTATTTTTTTCTCTCAGTGCAGGACAAGATTGTCACGTTGCTCGCGGCATAGTCGTATTTCAATTATTATAAAAGAAAATGTACGATTTACAGGATCGTTGAGATCGGAGTGTGTAAACACTAGGGGGAAGGTTGTCTCTATCACATTTGTACAGTCAATCACAACAGTTAGTTGTCTGAGAAGTTGTAACTACGAAATTCTGAAACACGCACATCCGACCCCAGTCTTTCCCACACCGGACCTCGCTCCATCAGAAACACGGACACACCTCATCGAGCGAAGGGACGATTCTCCGAGGTTCACCGAGGAGATAACGTCGATATCCCGCGGACTCGGCGCGACGTCGGGGGAGGTCTGTCAACGAATTATCTCGTCCTTTGTCGAGGGTAAGATAATTAAGTTCTCCCACCAACGTCGGACATTAAAGGCGCTCGTTTCTGGGTATAAGTGAAGGATGCCACGTCATTGTTGCCACTTGAGCCTTTTTATTTGGAAGAAAAGGAAGAGAGACGCAAGTAATCTCGGCTAATTGCTATCTCGCTCGAGCGCCGGGCGTTCACAAGAGAGAGAGAGGGGGGGGGGGCCAACATTTGTTTTTAATACAATCATGGTACATCAATACAACGGAGGGGGAGAGGCTAATATTTACACACAGTTTCGATTTCCGTCGTCGAATGTCGATCCTATCTCGGCGTCCTGAAGACGCGACTTAGTGGAATTAATCTGTCGCCTGTGTGACTACACATACGGCCGCTCGCGCAACAGTAGCAGTGAGAATTGATACCGCAGTAATTTGTACTAATTAACCCATCCGTATTTATACCTCCTCCTCACACTCCACTCTCTCTGTCTCACTCTCTCGCACTGGCTATTACAATACGTACATATCACTCGACGTCACGCTACGCGGAGTATCCCTATTAATCATCGAGGCAGACTGCGTGGCGGAACACACACGGCGAACGTATAATAATATTTTCGGCGCTTTCGGCGCCAAGACTTCGCGCTGAACTTTCAATATCGACGTGATGTTCACGGGCGAGGCTAGATGCCATTCGGCTTGGAGCGCGACGTGACGCAGCGCGACGCGACATAATGCGACGTGACGCGACGCGACGCCGGTGTTAATGATATTTAATACTCCCGCGCAACTTTGTACAAATGGATATACATTATACACAACGGTTGATAGAATTTTAAATCGAGCGTCGCGATCTTTCGGCCGACGAGCGGCGCGGCGAGTCGCGGGCGGTGTGCCAGGTTGTGAGAAAGAAGTATACGCTTTCCTTGTGATTAAAATATATATAAATAACTTTATTGTTTATATTCATATTTATATTCATATTTATATTTATATTTATATAATAAAATGCCCTATCTATTTTACAAATATACAAAACTCTCGCTATATGTACATCGATTTTCGCTTCGATTAAACAAGAGAGTTACCGAAGAACTGTATTTTTTATCTTTTTTTTTTTTCCTTTTTCCATTAATGAATCGATCCTTGCGATTAAAACTATCGTCGAGTAGAAAGAGGGAAGAAAAAACGTTACTTCGTTGCAATTACGAGTTACAGGTAGTATGCTCCATTGTGTTTTTTTTTTTATGCTTTTTCTCTTGCTTGCCCTAATTACATTTTGCACACTACGAAGCTATCACGATCCTCGAAAAATACGAATAACCGCTTACTTATTCAGACACCGTGTTACGGGTACATTTGCGATATTAAGAAATGCTTCTGATAATAAGTAGAGGAGAAAAGTCACGATAGGTCAGGAGTCCTGCAACAGAAAGAAGAACACATTTGTGACGCTACGTGAAAGTGTGATTTAAGGCTGGGCGTGTAATCGCGAGGCGCTACAGAAGGGCGCAGGCGGAGGAGGGAGACACACTTTAACGACGCACTTTAACAATGAATAATTGAATGCGCCGCTTTGTATATCGCGCACAATATGTGATGTAATTATTGATCACGCAGAAAGAATTATTCATTAACATTAATATATTGCGTTAATAAATCCATGATAATAGAGGGGTTTATTATTATAATGAGTTTCAATAAGCGAACGATCGATCATTATCTATAATCGCCGGAAATGGCACTATATTACTTCATTTGCACGCAGATGGAATACGATTACAGTGCCCAAAATTTGATATTACTGTGACCATTCCCGGAAATATTTATAATCGCCCTCGCATTCACATCATAATTGCCCGTTATACATATACGACTTTTTGAAGCTTACCTTCCTCGCTGCGATTTCCAATTAAACCATAGGTAACGTCATTCAATAATACTTTTGGGAACAGTTCACATCTGAAACAAAGAGAATTGCAGTAAATCAATTAGTGGCCAATCCAACCTGCACCGTTCGACTAGCGAATAAATTATTTAAAAAAACCGCGAACGGTATTTAAATTCTATTTTAACGAGCGTTGTGCATAATGAGAGGCGAAAAGCGGTTCGTCGAACACCTTGGATAAATAATTCGACGGCAATTCAGCGAGAATAGATGGGACACCGGCATAGAAGCGCTTCAAACGGAGAAAAAAGATGTAATAACAAAAAATAAACTAAAGGATATGATCGAACATCCGACGCTAAAAAATAGACACGTGTTTGTAAGGATAAATGGATTATTAATCTTTTGAAGCACTAGACTTTCAAAGTTAGGATTCTAATCAAATATTCATGTCACGTATCTAGAATGACAGCCCAAGAGATCACATCTTTGGAATTTAATTTTTTTCTATTTTCCTATTTTTACAGAATAGAGAGATGGTTTCACGATGCAACCACTGTGCAATCACCGTGCAACCAAATATTTCCATCTCTGTACACAGGCTGAGCGGTAACGAATTCAACCGTTACTTTTATCGTTACTTTAGTTATCTTTATTCAATAAATGACGCGCTTGTTGTGCGCTGATAGCGTGTTTTAAATATTCTTGACTGGATAGAAATATCTGGATATATTCGCTGGAAAACAGTACGTGGTTTATCTTATTCTTTATAAGAAAATAATTGTTAGAGCAAAATCGAGTGCAATTAGATGTTCGGATGTTTTGAAATTTATAGCTGTTAAAATTTTTTAATAAATTTAATAGGTATGTTTAGCGTAGTTCACTTTTGTAAAAAACTATGAAACAAGTATGTGTATATTACACTGAGTATACCTCTTATTAAATTTATTAAAAATTTTTAAGAGCCAAATTTTGCAATCCGGTTCTGTACTAACAATCATTTTTGTATGAAGAATAATAAAAGATAAGAAGATAGAATCAAGCTTATAAAGAAATATCAGTTCTTCGAGTCAGGATTATTGCAGCTTTGTTCTTTTAGGTGAACTGGCTAAATAGTAAAATTTAAGCTTAAAAGCAATAATTTTATTTTAAAATAATTTACGTATTTTATTTTAGTATTATAAAAAACTAACAAAATAGTAACGTTACTTTCTTAGTAACGGTAACAAATTATTTTTTTAAATTACGAGTAACGAGTAACGGTACAGAGTTATTTTTTACCAAAAGTAACGGTAACGCGTTCCTTTGTTGAAGTAAGATTCTCAACTCTGGTTGAAGCCAAGGAAAACTATAATTTTAATTAGATCAACCATTTTTTTTCTTTCAAGTATGTTAGTCGAAAAAACTCGACTAAGATTTTGAGTGTGAAGATGCCAGAAGAGAGGGCATACATAGTAATTTCTATATTAAATAGATATTAACATGCTGCGCCGCCGCCCTAATTTCCATTGATTACTTCAGAGCTCAACCAAAGTTTAAATAACCACAGATATGGTAAGTAAATCCAATTCATGATGCGAACATCCGTTAGCTCATGAAACATCCGTTTCATTAGCTCTTTATCGATCGCTTGTTTAATCTGTTATACGCAATTGTGGTTGCGTGTTATTAAATTAATTCAGCCTCTCTCCAGGGCAGTATAAACGTAAAATTTTTCATTGTTGATATATCAAAGGCGATAATCATTCTATAAAATTTCTTAACCGAAAAAAGAATAAATCTGTCTACTTTCTAGAAGTCTCAAATTAAGTATTAGAATCGTCAAATAAATCATTTTCGCCGATTTTTGGCGAACAAAGATACTGAAAATATGAAAAAATTATACATTAATCTAGCGAGTTTGTTGGATAAAAAGGAAGCACTCCAGAATGGGAAACTAAGCCGTTAATGGATAAAGTAGCAAGATTCCGTTTTGCATCAAAGAATCTTACAGTTTCGACGCGAAGAATGTGCTTCTTGGGAAAGTTCTTCCGAATACGAGATCAAACTTTTTCGCTATACCGGGTGAGAAGGGTGAAATGCGCGGGCTGAAGGGCGGTTCTAACAAGTTATATTTTTTAATTTTTCCCACGACGGGGTCGAGACGACGCGACGCGACGCGACGCGACGCGGCGCTGCGCGTCCCCGCTGAATGTTTCCCCGTGGTTTTAGAAATGCATTTAAACTTCCGCTTGGTTGTGCTCCGTGTCAAAATGCATTTCCTTTTTGCGTCGCCGGCACGTCGCGCCGCATCAGAGGGATTCTTTCGCGCGACGCGCGCGAGCGCCGCGAAAAACCGATGCAGCACATTTGTGCGGTGTCACGGCCGCGGCAGCGGTCGGCGGTAGACATCGCGGCGGAAACGTCCGGCGTTTTGAAATTCTGGTGGCTCGAACCATGTCACGCCTCGGCGAGCACGTCGGCCAGCCCGACCTTCCCCGCCGCCAGTACGATCAGCGCGCGATTGCGCCTAGATGGGCGAGAGATCTCAATTTTCGAAATGCCGCGTATCTCGCCAGATACACTCGCATAATCGCAGGCAGATCGCAGGCAAATCGTCGGCAGTACGTTTGTCGCATCCGCAAAATAATTTGTGCTACTCCGCACTGAGAGAAAAATGTATGATATTCGGAATTATAATGGCATAGTAAAAAGATTATAGTTAGGAATATAATTTTTATAGTAAATGTTACCATAATATTTGTAATATTTACAATATAAGCATAGTATAACTGAGCCGTGTAAAATTTTTAACAAGAATTATAATTATTTGAAATAAAAAATATAGTAAGGTAGCAAATATTGAATGGTAAGAGAAATTAACTATTTTATAGTCAATACAATTGGAATATTTGGCAAATATAGGTACATGCAACTATATTCCCAAAAAGTGCTTTACCGTATATATAGAGTAATAAGATGGTGACTATAAATCTGTGTTCATTCTACTATATCTTCATTTAGATAAACTATAAATTTATATTTGAGGCCAAAACGAACTATAAAATATAGTGAGATTATAGGTATGCCAACTATTTTTTTCCCTCAGTGCGATTTCACTGATGGCTTGTTTCAACTATATCGAGAAAATCAAGTTTCAAAGTTACACAAATTGCAGGTTAATTTAAACAAATTGGGACTTATTATAATTGTAATTGTAACTTGAATTGTAATTGTAATTTGTACAAAATTGTAATTTGAACAAACATCAAGCCAGATTAATAGTACGACGTAAAAAATCAAACTACGAAATTTTATCGACAGTAAAAAGTTAACGAAACTGAACATAACTACATATAGGATATGAATGTTCTTTTACTATTAAAAAAATTTAGTATTATATAATTTACTATTAAAAGAGGTTGTGATTTAATTGCATAATACGAGTAATTTTACTTCTTGGTTGGAGCGTTAAGTAAATCATATAAGTGTGACCAATAATGTGGGATGCTTTTAAAATTAAATAAATAATAAAAAAACTATATAGACAAATTAAACAAAAATTCGACGCATTGGCACTGTCAAGTATTATTATGATTTAAATTATTCACACTAACATTTGTGTTCGGCCCTTATTGGTCATATTTTCTTACTTAAAGAGACTACTAGATAAATAATATATATAAAAAATAAAATATTAATTATATTTATAAATATTTGTTATATTTCCCAGACAACCCACACTCTAAATTTAAAAATAACTCATACTCTATAAAAATAACTCATTAGTGCTGTGCTACTTATCGATGGATTACGAATATTAATTAATTGACATTTTTTTCTTACATTCATATTTGTTATTTTGACTTAAACTCAATTTTGTAAAAAAATGTCATAAAGAATAGTAAAAAAATATATATAGAAAATAGTAATTATAAGATATAACTCGTAAGGAATGTCGATAGGAGATTTTTGTTGATACAATGTGAACATATACAAAAATAAATGCGTTATAATATATTTTTCATGTTATATTAACATATAATATTAAATGTTTTAACTTAGTGATAGAAACATTTTCTATTAATAAACTCAATTATTCTATATGTCGAAGTTCATAGTGATTTGTGTTAAAAAAACTTAAAATAATATTTCATTTCTAAGTGACATACAAGAAATGTTAATTTATTAAGTTAACATTAATATAACATATTAAAACATGACGAAAATAATAACATCGATAATACATTAAAAATGTATTATGTATGTTAATTGTATGTTAATTTTACATTAAAATAACAGTAAAAAATGGGTAACACGTGAAAATGTTAACATTTGTATGCAAGATTTCTAACTATGTATGAATGAAAGAAAATAAAACGCAACATGGATAATGTAGACACACCAGTCATCTTCGAAATCGTTCGCTGATGCGCCCGACTTATCGATCAACTGTGACTGTTATGACTGTAACCGACTTGACTAACTGAGATTGACTGTTCGCGCTTCGCTTTCGCCTTGAATGCAAGGATGACAGGGATGTCACCTATTTTTCTCACACGTCGTGGAAGCGACTAATAGCTGCATGCTTTCTCATCTCTCGCGTCTGTTCTTGAAAACGCGAACTCAAACGCTACCATTTCTCGGAAACAATCGCGTTCAGCCATTGCTACAAACAGGAAGAAATATTCCGGTTCTGTTCCGCTCGCGTTACATTACAGTAGGCTTGACTTGTGCCGCGAATTTCACGGCATGTGAGTGCGCCGTGAATTCACAGCAAGCGTTCACGGCATTCATCGTTTACGATAACGAAAAATGCAAGACGTTGCGTGCTTCCTGGTGATTCACGGAAAAAAAGATTTGCTACCTATGGACAACCAAACATAATTTGCTGTATTAGCCACTTTTTCTTTGCTGCAGGAACCAATTTCCTTGCTATGATTACAAGAAAATCTGCTCTTGCAACAAAAAAAGTAGCTAAAGTAGTAAATTATGTTTAGTTGTCAATCTGTAGCAAATTTGCTGCGTTAACCATTTTTCTTACTGTAGATTTTCTAGTTATCATAGCAAAGAAATAGATTTCTACAGCAAAGAA